GCTCGGCGATTGGGGGTACAGAGGGAGGGGTGCGAGTCGATGTGCCCCGAATGGTCCAATGGCTCCTTCGAGGCCTTCGCAATCCTTGCCATCACATTCGCCTCCATCAGGATGGGAGCATCCGCCGGACAGAAGACTCCCCGCGGAAGGTTATAAAATCCCTCGTCTGGCCCGGGGGGGTCTGTCTTTCCTTCTTCTTCCTTTCCCATCACTCCCACTTAGGCCCGTTTGCACATTCTTCCACATTCTTCCCATCTTGTTTCATCTCACCTCATTGAAGTCCACTTGAGTTTTATACTTCCTCTTTGCTCCATTATAACACTTGCTGTCGTTGCAGTCAATCGTCGCCATGGCCACCCAGCGTCACTATTACCAGCCTACTGCTTACCCATACCACCATGCGCCCTCAAAGGCGCCGGCATCAGCATCTCTATACCCCATTTCCAGGGTCTCCGGCTCCCCACCAGACTTCTCTGATGCAAGCACCACCGCCGGCAGTCGTTCCTCTGGCGGGCTCACCTTCAGCTCTGCCGGCGATTACGACTCCAGCTTTGCATCATACTCCGGCGTCGATGTCGTGGATGTCCTAAGCGACCGCATGCAGGATGCATTTGATCCAACCCCATTGGACAAGGGACTGGCACGACAAGCGCAGACGTGAGTTTCCCTTCAATATTCCATTCATCATTAGAAATCCCCCCCCACAGCATTCACGACCAGGAGGCGGTGGTTCGCGAAACAAGACCCAGCAAGATATCCCAATATTCGAGAGGGCAAGCTAACAAGCAACTGCGCGCGCAGATCTGGCCAACTGAACGCAAAGCAGCAGGAACTCCTCGAGCTGCAAGCGCTCGCCCAACGCCGACTGAAAGGCGCACGGGCAAATTTCTCCGAAGGCCTGAAGACCGCACGAGAGACGAAGCGCGACCTGGAATGGACGCAAAAACGCGTCAGGTAAGCCAAACCCACCCCTGGAACCGACATGGTACGATGGACGTGCAAGTTCCGCTCCGCTCCGCGACAGGGGCTTCCGCTCCGCCGGGTGAGCTTGGCACGTGCACGTCGATCAGCGCCTTGCCTGCGGCATTAGCGCCGATGAGTGCGTTTTCAGAAGGCTGACACACGTGGCTGGAATCAGTGCCCTGAAGGCTAAGGCCGAGAAGGCCCATCCCGAGGAGTACCGCCGCTCTTCGAAGAAGTACGCCTATGACGACTGTTGATTGGGCTGTGCTGGGCTTCTTGATGACTGATATGATGGGGAAACCCCCTTGGCATGGACAAAATTGGGATCTTGGGATGGAGGTGGGATTATTTGGGGGCTTATTTGTTTCTTCGTTGGGATTGGCGTGCTTTTACCTCTTTGGTTGGGTCTTTGTGCATATCTTGGATAGGTAATTTGTGTCTCTTGACGTATAGTAGAGAGATTTCTCTGAATGGTATTGGTTTTACCTTTTTTCTCAGTATAGTCAAGGAATTGCTGCCTGTAGGCCTGTAATATTAGGTCTCGAGGTGTGCCTGATCCCCTTCAGCACTATAGAGCTCCTCTGAGTGTTCAATGTTGTATGTTATTGTGTAACGGCGAGGTTGATGCTAAAAGCTGATGTATCTTGGCCTGAGACACCCAAACGGTTGTTACTTACAATCCAATACGAGCTAAGTAGAGGCTGAAAGTTAAAACAGTTTAAACACTTACATAGTCTATTGATTTAGATAGGCCTTTATATGTGTAGTGTTTTGATATTGAGAGTTTGTAAGTAGTTAACCTGACAACCCGGCCTTTGGATAAGCATCTGTCAAACTAAACCGAAAGGGAAAAGTTATCATGCAGTTGAAAAGCATTGCTAGTTCCCTAATGGCCATATGACGTTTGATTGTTCTCACAAAATGTGCTCAATTCAATTGCAGCCATCTGGAGTATCCATCGATGTTTGTTAAGAGATGATTTAAAATACCAACGGAAGAGAAAATAGTATTACAAGCATATATTTACTTCAGAGCTAATCTAGTTATATTCCCAGTACATAGAAAAAAGAAAGCCTATTATAAACAACGCCTACTGGAAACTCTGCTCCTCCTCAATAGCGCGGTTGATAACGCGAACAAAGCGGCCAACCTTGTCAGAATCCTGTTTGGCCGTTTCAATACCCAAGAGGACCTTCTTGATGCCGACACTCAAGCGCCCGTCATCCGCAAGCCCACCCACTGATTCGAGGGCTCGTGCAATCTCCTGCGCATCAAAGGCACCTGACTGCTCCATGACAAACCGTAGTTCACCGAAGGAACTAACATTCGGAACCATGATATCCGAGTTGAAGGAGTTGTAGATGTCCAGCTGCTTCATCAAGGCACGCTCAGTTGTCGTGGCCAGAACCAAGAGACGACGTCCGTGAGTTGGCTGCTTCCTCAGGAAAACCATGAGAGCCTGCAGCACACTGTTGCTGAAGCGAGGACCAATCGGCACCCAGTCGATGATTCGTTCGATGTTGTCGATGACAACAATACTGGTGGTACTCTTGTAGGCGCTGTCAAAGATCCGGCTGATATGTGCGATCTTTGCTGGCTCACTGAAGCCAACCATGTCTTCCGGGCTGATCAACTTAATGAAGGGGAAGCCGGAGTCAATAGCAATCCGTGCTGCCAGGGCGGTTTTGCCGCTGCTAGGAGGACCGTGAAGCAGAACAGAGAAAAGTGGAGTTGACTCTGCCGTTCCAACCTGCTTGACAAATAACTCGCCTTCCCGCAGGATTTCGCTGATAGTCGCAGAATAGTGGATGACTCCGTATGGAATGCGACAGGACAGCTCTTCCTCGGACACACCAAAGGCAGGCTTGACTTCATCAAGAGAGTGGAGGAAGTCGGCCCGGTTGACCTTCATGTCTACCACGTCTTCAGTAATACTAGCCATAGTACCGACTTTGACATGGCGAGAGAAAGCAAAGGACGAGGCAGACTTGACCAGACCTGCGATCTCAGCACCAGAAAAGTTCTTGGTCAAATGAGCAAGCTCGGCCAAGTCAACATCCCTATCCATGACATTATTGTTCCGCATCTTTTCGGTGTGAATGTTGAGAATCTGGCTTCGGCCATACTCGTCAGGGAGCGAGATTTCCATGTGCACCTCCAAGCGACCAGGACGCAGTAAAGCCTCATCAATCATGTCCATTCGGTTAGTCATACCGATCAACAGGATGTTGTTCAGTTGGTCGACACCATCAAGTTTCGAAAGGAGCTGGTTGACCACGCTATCACCGACACCGGTACCACCAGCTCCGCTACCACGCTGCTTGCACACTGCATCCAGCTCATCAAAGATGATGATATGGAGACCACTCTCGTCGCCCTTTTCTTTATATTCCTTCTCGGCATCCGCAAACATCTTTCGGATGTTTTCTTCAGATTGACCCACGTACTTGTTCAGAACTTCTGGACCGTTGATAATCTTGGGCTCCCTAGCATTAAGCATCTTTCCGATTTGTCGAGCAATGAGTGTTTTACCTGTTCCTGGAGGTCCATAAAGCAAGAGGCCCTTGACGTGCTGGATACCAAGTTTCTCAACCAGACCAGGGGGGAAAATGCGAGAGGCGAAAGCACGACGGAAGATCGTACTGAACTCAGCATCTAAACCACCGATACCCATATCTTGGAACTTGAAGCCCGGCTGAATGATAGAGTTGGCCGCTGGGCGGCGGTTGGACGGCTTCACATTGATACCGGTCTGGGTATCCTTAAAGAAGTTGAGTTGAGTGTGCCGTGTGAGAATACCCCTGGCCGTAGGATCGGTCTCGACTTGTCCAGAACTGAGATCAGCCTTCTCAGATGTCAAATCAACCCGCTGAACGGTCTTGACCTGTAGTAAGAGCGGGATACTCTTATTATCCATCAGGATTCTCTGGCCGGGCGAGAATAGTTGGTTCTCAAAGTTCTGGGATTTATTAGCATGTATTCAGGACTGACATGGAGTCAACTTACCCTGATCACCGCTTGTGCCAATTCATCCTGGTCGTAGGGAGCTTCGACCCGCTTCTTGGTAGATGCAAAGCTGACTTCAATATCCGCGGAGCCCAGGTAGGCCTGTCCGCCTTGGCTAAACGGATCATACAGCTGTACCTTGATTGAATCTCTCAACCCGATATTGGCCCATGTTCGCTGAGGGTCCGACATGCTCATATACCCAGGGGGAAAGCCATCGAGAGGGCGAGCAGAGAAGACGAAGAGATCATTGATAAGGAGGAGGACGTCGGTACCATCTCGTGAGGGTGGGATGTCCTGTGGCGAAACAGCAACGCTGTTCTGTATTAGTTGCCGAGAATAAAAGGCTCTCACAGGCTACTCACAGGTTTCCAAATGTGTAGTTTTCGTTCGGACTCTTGCTGGGATGGAGAGTCCAAGTCTGGCCTCCGCCTCTTTGTCCGGAATGCATCCTAGAAGGCATCTGCTGCGGCGGGGGTCTTGCTCCTGGTTGAGGTGGGCCTCCGTAACCACTTAGAGCATTATACACATCAGCCATCGGCACATCGACATCGCGGATAGGACCTGCATAGCCTGCAGTGGGTGAGGGGAAACGATCCGTGTCATACCGTGGGGGTGCTTGGTTGGGGTTTGATTGTCCGCTGGAACCGAAAGGATTAGGAAGATTGCTGCGATTGAACATGATGAACGGTTTGGTTGTAGCTAATCACAGAGGAGAACCGTTGAAGCAATTGTCTTAGACACTGTGTCGGGAAACGAGCAGGCAACTGTGAAACTCAGTTGGCCCTGTAGCGCAGGTGACCTACGGTCAATTATGGAATGTTTAAGTTCAACAGCTTGCTGGATATATGCTGATATCCAGAGTGAAGCAAATATGAAAGGAAGAGAACAGAGTTGGACTCGTGAAGCTGTCGACGGGGCACTTTGGCCACCCCCGGGAACAGCGTCGGCCCGTGGGGACGTCATTATCGATAAGACCAGCTTTTTTTGCTATCGAACAACTTCCACGCAAGCGTCAACCAGGTTCCAAGATGCCGCTGTAAGTGGATTTTTTTATTTAGTTTTGTAATATCTGCAAAACCCCGCTAATTTTTTATAGCCATCTCCTCGGCAAAAAGTCATGGAACGTCTACAACGCCGAGAATATCGCCCGCGTCAGGCGCGACGAGGCGCAGGCAAAAGCCCGCGAGGAAGAAGACGAACGTATCATGCAGGAGGTCGATGCCGAACGCAGGATCAAAATTCTTCGTGGCGAACGTCCGCCTACGCCTCCGCCGGCGCCCTCTCTTCAGTCATCTGAACCCGGGGCTCGATCAGACAGAAAGTTCGCCAGCCATGCTGGAGGATTTCGTAAGAGAAGGAGGGTTGCTGGGGAAGATGATACGGATCGAGATATACGATACGCTCGGGAGGATGCTGCACAAGCGGTTGCTAAGCGGGAAGAGTTGATGCTCGCCTCTCGCAAGGCTGATACAGCAGAAGCCCCGATTCTAGACAAGTCCGGCCATATCAACCTGTTCCCAGCTGCAAGTGCTAAAACAGGGAAGAACTCTGAAGCGGAGGCTGAAGCGGCACGGAAGAAACGCAGCTATGAAGACCAATACACGATGAGGTTCTCCAACGCCGCAGGCTTCAAGAAGACTATCGGCCAGAAACCGTGGTATTCCTCTACAGAACAAAATGCAACAGCTCCAGAGTCGATGCCCGAGAAAGATGTGTGGGGTAATGAGGACTCAGGGCGTAAAGAGAGGACACAGGCTCGTATGAGTGCGAATGACCCACTTGCAGCGATAAAGCGAGGTGTGCGTCAGTTGAAAGCAACAGAGCAGGAACGGAAGCGATGGAATGATGAAAAGCGAAGAGAGATTGAAGCTTTGAAAGCTGAGAAGGTACGGCAGTCAAGCCATCGGCGAAGGCGATCCCCGTCAGTGGACAGCCTCGATGGGTTCAAACTGGATGCGCCGGACAGAGAACATGAGAAGGACCGAAGAAGTTCTGACAGGCATCATCGTCGCCGTCGGGATCAAAGTCGAGATCGCTCTCATCGTCGCCCTCATCGTCGCCCTCATCATCACTCTCACCACCACTCCTCTCATCGCAGTCATTGTCATCGTCACGATGAACATTCTGAGGCTGGCAGGCGGGAAAAACATATTGAAGCAAGGAGTCGAACCTAGATGTTCCATTTTTTCTACAAGATCATGACTCAAATTACGACAACGATACCCATGACATTGTCTGTTCCTAAATGCAAATCATTTTTATATTCACTGGGTCAAGTAAACGACACCAAGGTAATAGAGTGCCGTCCTTTTTCTATGTAGGCAGTCATCTCTTTTAATTCATCAGAAAACGTATCAAAAGATCGCTCGATCCTATTGGAGGCTCCATAGTTGGACCCCCTGTTCATTTGAGTCGGACTCCCATTGAACACTGATGTCAACTCCCCGAGAGCCCTTCTCTGTCTTCTCATAACCGATCTTGCCGGTGATGGTCTGGCCCTTCTTCAAGGCCTGGGAACCTCCCTTGGCGTGATCCTTGGCATGGTCAATGAGAAGGACAGTCTGCTGCCAATGGGTCTCAATTCCATCAGGACCAGTGGTGAACGAGACGATTCCCTTCTTTTGCATATCTGAGGGAATGGCATCCCCAGGCAGAACAGAATCTCTGGAGGGCATGAAGAAAATGTCAAACCAGATAGCCCATCCATCCAATGCATCGACATCCTGGTTCAATGTGACCTGGAATTCCTTCAAGAAAGACAGCTCCTCGACAGTGATGGTGTGCAGTGGAAGTGTCAAGAAAATTTGAGACTCTCCGACAATAGTCGTAGGCTGGTTGCTGCGGACCACAGCCTCATCGTAGATCTTGTGAAGCATGCTGTCCATCTTGAAACCGTAGACGTTGTTCCAGAACGAGATGTGCGACGCGATGAAATCAGGATCGGCATAAGGAGCAAGGCGCAGGGTAGCGTGCGAAGGGGCCATAAGACCATTAGGAGCGAGATAACGATCTCTGGCGTAGATGACTGAGTCAAACATCGCCTCGAAGAGGAGACCGTAACCCATCCATTCAGAGATGATGATGTCGACCTTTTCGACGGGCAAAGTAACCTCTTCGATCTTGCCACGGATACACCTGTGATAAGTCAGTCCTATCTCCTTATCCGCGGGGGGTGATTATAACTCTTACGTGATAACATCTTCAAGGCCATTGTCATGGACGATTTCCTTAGCTCGGTCAATGATGTTCGAGTTGTCCACAGCAATGACCTTCTTTGCGCCAGCCTTGGCACAGAACATGGACAAAATACCAGTGCCACAGCCGACATCAAGAACAACCTTGTCCTTGAAGACATGCTTATTTTCGTAGACGAAATCGCGGTAAGCGTCGGTACGGATGGTGTCCTTGAGCATAGATTCATGAATTCCTTTATACTATGTTAGCATCATAAGCATAACAAGTTGAGCGAGATAGCATACCATTATAAGCGTAAGAAACGAAGTATCCATCTTCAGCATCCTGCAGTCTGTCGATAGCCTTGGCTGAGGGTTGAGGGTTGGATTCAGCAAGCTTATCATCCTCCTTCGACAATTGGTCATCCATCGACTTCTGCACAGCAAGACGGTACTCCGAGAATTGGGTCTGCAACCGCTCCAAGTTCTCCTGGAGCTCCAGAACCTGTCGGTTTGTCTCAGTAGACGGGACAGCGTCTTCTCCTTGTTCTTCGGCAAGGTCGTCCAAACTATACAAGAGAGCATCGTCCTCCAAGACGGGCTTGAGATAGACATCATCCTCGAAATTGGACTTGGACGAGATATCGGGGGTGTTATTTCCCTTCTTGACTTCGGTGCGGACGTAGTTGACCAACTTGATGTTGTCGAGGAAATCCAAATCTGGAAGGTAGGAGTAGTCAGCTTCAATTGTCAAAATCCCGGAAGAGTAGAAACTGGACATACCAAGGTCCTTCTGGATCTTCAGCAGATCAAAATTGTACTTTTCCTTGCACTCCTTCAGCATTGAACGCGCATCAGGGAAAACCTGATCAGTGAAGAGCCCAACCACAGGCTGTGACTCCTCGTCAGGTTCGATATCTTCCCAGCCCTCCTCGTTGCTAGAATCGGACGAATCCGATACTGAGCCCGAGTCAGGGAAACTCTCACCCACAGGTGGGTTCACGGCATTGGAAGCTGACATGGCTTATAAAGGTCAATAACAAATTTATTTCGACCTTGGAGGGGGAGGGGCAGAGATAGCATTTTGATAGAAAAAAAAATCCGTTATCAGCGGATGCCTCAGGCAGAAAGACCCCCGTTGCCCCGCCCCGGTTTGTTTATTCGCAACTTGCAATCGAATACATCACATTTGCTTCCCCTTTGGACTCGATCTCGATTCTCCCGTTGCAATTATAACTTATCCCATGTTGCCTTAATCTCCAGTTTCTTTCTCAATTTGCCGCATATTCTCTCCATCTCACCATGGCTTTCTTTTTCAATCGCGGCCGGTCGCGGCAACCTGCTGATATCGTCCGGACAACGAAGGAACTCTTACTGAGGATCCATGACTCCCAGAATGCTCCCAAGGTCTGTTTGAAGACATCGAACCGTGGATAGAACAGTCCAACTAACGAATGCACTAGGCCGAAGAGGAGCTAGCTAAGCAACTCAGTCAAATGAAAGTGATAGTGCAAGGAACACCAGGTTGGTCTCCTGGAAGTAACATCCGAGGCGCAAGGTCAGGGAATTAATCCAATAATCTCCTTATTTAGAGGTATCCGCATCAGTGGATCAAGTCCATGCACTTGTACAAGCAACACTTCAAGAAGATCTACTCTTTGACCTATCTCGGGGCATCCATTTGCTTCCTTTCGAAGCCAGAAAAGACACTCAGACCATATTCTCCCATATCCTTCGGTTCCGGCCCAACTCATATGGACCCGAAAAAGATCCTCCCGTCATCTCATACCTTGTCCACCATCGACCAGAAATCATTGTCGAGTTATGCCGGGGCTACATGCAGAGTCAAAGTGCAATGCCATGTGGTGTCATTCTCCGAGAGGCATTGAAGTTCGATGTCATCACCGCGATTGTATTGTATGATCAATCCAGTGAAGGAGAATCCGCCATACGACTATCAGACGTGAAACCCAACCAGCCGCAAAGGGGAGATGGAGTGTTCTGGAGATTTTTTGATTGGATAGACAAGAGCAATTTCGAAGTAAGCGCAGATGCGTTCACCACATTCAGGGTAAGGTCCAGAACATTGGCTATTGATGATAAGTCGCTGAATATCTTTCACAGGAGATTTTAACCCGCCATAAGAGCCTTATGACTTCGTACCTGGCAACCAATTTTGAACTCTTCTTCGGGCGATTCAATAACATCCTGGTCCACTCGGACTCATATGTCACCAAGCGCCAAAGCATCAAGCTTCTGGGTGAGATCCTATTGGATCGTGCGAACTACAATGTGATGATGGCATATGTGGAGAGTGGAGATAATCTCAAGCTCTGCATGAAACTTCTACGGGACGATCGCAAGATGGTGCAATATGAAGGGTTCCATGTTTTCAAGGTAAGTTTTCCCTCAAATCGCAACGAAGCCAGATGAGCTAACAACGGATTAGGTGTTTGTGGCCAACCCGACCAAATCGGTGGCAGTGCAACGAATTCTGATCAATAACCGTGATCGACTGTTGAGGTTTTTGCCTAAATTCTTGGAGGACCGAACCGACGACGATCAATTTACGGATGAAAAGAGCTTCCTGGTCCGTCAGATCGAACTCTTGCCTACAGAACCCGTGGATCGGGCTCGACCAACTCGCGACTCACCGTCAGCTCACACAGCTGCTGTGGCTTGAGATAGATCTAACGCTGGGTCGCTGGTGGACCGTTTCACGCCCTTATGATACTGTTTTTGTTTTTGACGTTGGTTCTAGCAGGGGATATTTTCCCTTTTGACTGCATTGAGCATTGACGGCCGGTTATACAAGCCTCAGCCACAGGAGTTCCACGCGTTTTGTACATCTGGGGCGTATGGGGGGATTGGGGGTCTCAATTGAATCTACTCGTTGTGCACGTACTCCATAGTTGGGTATTAACGGATACAATTAGACAGATTGCCTCTTGATGTCTGCCACATCCCCCATTGGGCAATGATTCTAATCTAAGCACATTGGAACTAGCGTACTCCACCACATACCCCTTGTCCTCTCGCGATCCACACGCGGCCCATGGAGGTGGGACAAACCCCTTGATATCTATTTTGAGGAAAAGAGGACAAGAGGAAAGTAACTAGAGGATCCATAATAGTATGGTAGGACGATGTTCAGGGCTGTATATAACACATATAACACATACAGTGTACTTCAAATGTTGTTATAGTTACAATGCACTCACATGTAGGGGATGATAACTCCGAGGATGCCCCGTCAAAGTCCAGAACTGAGTTGGAGAGCGCCAAGACCGACCCGAAATAACTTGGACTCCAGGTATCTCACAATTTTAATTCTGGAGCTTCTGTTTTGCTGAACTTCGCTTGAGATTTTCCCCTTGTCGCTCCTTTTACTTTGATCCCGATTTTCGCTTAATCTGGGCCCTTCCGTCCCCATTCGCCTCGTCCCTGCACTCCTTTCTTTCACGCGATTCTAGCCCACGCGCAGAGTCGCAAGCCATGCCGGGATAATGGTGAATGAGGTTTCTGCATCGTTATCGCCCGACCGATCGGAGCCCAATCCGACGATTCACGCCGTGCCCTTTGAAAATACCGTCGACGCCCCTCTTGCAATCCGGTCGGTCTCATTGCCCACAGCCGATGCGCCAATAGCCTCCAATGGCCGATCCTTAAGCACAAGCGCTGCATCAGCTAGTTCCAGTGATGACCATGCATCCGCGCCTATGTTCCCGCGGCTCGCGCCATCGGTGTCCGTTGGGGAAGAAACCCGAACGATTCGGTCGGAGGGCCCGCCCTCCCTACGCAGCGTGCCGAGCATTGTTGTGAATGAACCAGGCTCCCGTCCCAGCTCCCGACCGGGCTCAAGGCCGGGCTCTCGATGGTCAGAAAGAAAGTGGGGTGGTTTAAAGAAACGGTCCCTCGACATGGAGAGAAAATGTAGCTCGGAGGAGCCTCCGCCAGTGCCTCAAATCGAGCGCCCCTTTACTGGTATTCCCTTAGATATACCGACGGCCTCTTTGGATGGTCTAGATAAGCCGATGATGTTCTCCAATCGCGGAAGTCTTATCAAATGTCAGGCGAAACGTCCGCACCCAAAGCCACCTCAGGAGAAGTTGGACGAGCACCCCGAGCAACAACCAGACCCGCCCCACCAAAATCTAGAACCGGAGGAAGCTTGCCAAGAGCTAGGCCAGCCAGCCCAGGAAATATCGGAAGAGGACTGTGATCAAGATTTGGACCGACAGGCATCTAAAGTTGCGTTGCCCCCTGCCATTATCATGAGCCGCCCCGAAGGAGAAAATGGAACCCCGAAAGCGATTCCACGGCGCGTCAAACGTCAGGGCACTCTTCGCCCGAGACAGACTAGTCTTCCGAGCAGAGCAATCTCGGCAGACGAAGATATGTTGTCTCGACGAGTTCGACTGATGTACGAGAAGGGCGAAGACAATGTTACCGACTCCGAGGTCGCGAAAGCAATGGCCTCAGAACACGGGGTCTTATGGGAAGAGGGTGCGGTCCCGGATACTGAAACCCCTGAAACACTCGCTGCTCACACGAATGAGACTGGAAACCAAACCAAACCAAGGGCGTCTGTCGAAGTGGAGCGTATTCGAATTAAGAGGGAAACTCAGGAGCTAGCTGGTGGCGCTGAATATTGGCAAAATGTCGGTGCAGAAGAAGTCGATCGTTATGGCTTCATTCGACCTGCAAAGAACTCCAATGGTTCCGATATTAACCCGCTTCAACGAGTGACGACTAGCCTTCTACTAGCTTCTGAGACGCCTCGGCGGAAACGTTCAATTCGCCCACCAACCGCTCCGGCCAGCAACCGTTCCTTCAATGGCCCGTCTCTAGTCCGCAAAATATCCCAAAGTTCCCTGAACGCGCGTCCATCTTCATCACAAAGCAACTATGGTCCTCCACTGCGCCGCTCGACATCTCGTTTGCGTACGGCGACCAATCATCTGCCTCACAACCGAGATCGAAAAACCAAAGATGAGGCAGCCGACATGCTCACTCTGCCCACTCAATCTTGTGGCGAGACAGAAGATGCACCAGTTACTCGTGCAATGCGAAGGAAGGAGTGGCAACGTGAAGACAAGTGGACCAAGATGGCTAAGCCGACCAAGAAGACCAAGGACGGCGGCGGTATGACCTTTGAGTTCGATACTCAGAGCTCGAAGTTGATTGAGCGGACTTGGAAAGGTATTCCAGATCGGTGGCGGTCAACGGCCTGGTACTCATTCCTTGAAGCAAGTGCCCGGCGCCACAAGGGCAGCCCGCCTGCGGACGAGCTCATCGAAGCCTTCAATGAGCTCCAGTTCATCTCGTCACCGGACGACGTCCAGATTGATATCGATGTACCACGAACTATCTCCAGCCATATCATGTTTCGGAGGCGTTATCGGGGTGGCCAAAGGCTGTTGTTCCGTGTCCTTCACGCCATGTCACTATATTTTCCTGAGACGGGCTACGTACAGGGAATGGCAACTCTCGCGGCTACGTTACTAGCGTATTACGATGAGGAACACGCTTTTATCATGCTCGTCAGGTTGTGGCAGCTGCGAGGTCTGGAAGAGCTGTACAAGTCCGGCTTTGCTGGTCTAATGGAGGCCTTGGCCGACTTTGAACGAGAATGGCTCGCCGGAGGTGAAGTGGCCACGAAACTGGTAGGTCAATTTGGCTCGAAACACGAGGAGTGTTTACTAATGCTTAATTTTGCAGAACGAGGTCGGAATCCCACCCACAGCCTACGGCACTCGCTGGTACCTCACTCTCTTTAATTACTCGATCCCCTTCCCGGCTCAACTTCGGGTGTGGGATGTCTTCATGCTCCTTGGAGATGCCGAAGACCACACTGCCCGTCCCACAACCTCTGGAGGGAAGAACAAAATCCCCCCTGCTGAGAACCCAAGGACATTTGGCCAAGGTCTTGACGTCTTGCATGCTTCATCTGCTGCCCTTATTGATGGCATGCGTGAAATCATTCTCGAGTCCGACTTTGAGAATATCATGAAAGTCCTCACCAGCTGGGTCCCTATCAAAGACACCGAAATGTTCATGCGTGTCGCTAAAGCGGAATGGAAAGTCCATCGTCGCAGGAAAGCTCCTTAAGTATTGTCTCTCTGGTCAGGGCTTCGCGCGTTTGCCTTCAACCTTTTACTAATTTCGTCACTGCCAAATTTTGCACTAATTGGCCCTATGGGTGTGCTATACCCTAATGATTGCAAGTCGCACCCTAGGGCCTGCCCCTAATGCCCTTCACACTATACCCTTTCCGAGGTTTCAGAGCGCGCTTATTTCTAGGCATCGTCCTGTTCTAATTGCCCTCTCCCTTTACCTACGTTCCTTGCCTAATTCCTTATCATTGTGTCTCCTGGATACTAATACTTCCTTATGACTGTTGATTCCCTGTCCGGTTTTCCTCGGGCGCGTGATACCTATCCTCATGCCTTGCTTACTTTCTTTTGGTCATTTCATTTTATCCTTACCTTTCTTCAACACTCTTGTACATCACTTTGGCGACTGGCTACGAGGGTCATTCCCACTCTCGTTGCCGCCACCTATTTTGTTCAAATCGTGTTTCAGAGATTTGCAGCCCATTGTCATGCCTAATTGGACCGTCTGAGGCGACGTGAATCGATCCTATATAATCCCGGGGGGAGAGTGCAATTCTATCTTATACCCAATAAATCAATAAATCAATAGTTCCAGTTGGTATATGTCATGACTCTCAGCTCTAACTCAGAGCTGCAGTGTGAACAGTCTCTTCTAGAACACTTTTGTATTGCAATTTCTAAAAGCAGTCTACATTGATCTTTATCCAAGTAAACCCGTTCCAGCCTTGGCGCCCAGATTGCCCTTGTCAACATAATTCTCCTTCAGCCAATTCATGGCACTGGGATCCACACCACGCTGCTTGACATACACAGCCTCAACATTGTAAATAGTGTCCAAGCCAACAGTATCCATCATCAAGCAAGGACCCTTGTTAGCCTGAAACCAACTCTTGAACATCGCATCAATGGTGTGGGCATCACTGACGCCCTCGGCCATGACAAGCAAAATCTCACGTTTAAGCGAGGCCCAAATGCGATTAAACACAAACCCAGTAGACTCAACCTTAGCCATCACAGGCGAGAACCCAGCCTGAGCAGCCTTCTCCATCAAAAACGACATGAGTTCAGGGTCCGTGTGGCCACAGCTCATAACCTCGACGAACAACTGCTCGGGCGGCATGTAGTAATGACTATTGCAGATGCGGTAATTCTTCTTCGTTTTGACGATCATCTGGCTGGAATTCAGCGACGACGAGTTACTGGCGATGATGCAGTCCGGCCGAGTGAGTTTGTCGAGCTCCGCCATGAGCTCGATCTTCAGCTCCAGCTTCTCCGGAATGGCTTCGATGACCATCCATGCGTCCCTGACGGCTTCTTCTAGGTTGTTTGTTGCTTTCAGCTCGCCGGGTTCCGTGCCTTGTTTGGCGGCTTGCTCGGTTTCATGTTCCTGGACGTAGCCCACTGCGCCGCCGTAGTCAACCGCTTTCTCACACAGCATCACGGGGAAGTTGGCGCCTATCCACATCATGGCGATTCGTCGGCCCAACACGCCGCCGCCGACCACGGCGATTGGGCGGTTGCTTGTGTCGGGTTTGGTCCAAGGACTCGACGGCATTGTGCTTTGGAAATTGGAGGTTCTGGATTTTGGAGCTCCTGTGGGATATGGTCTTGAGTGATAGTCATTGTGGCTACTTTAATGGAGGGAGAGGTTGTGGCGCTATGATGCTATAATGATTGAAAGTCGGATCTTTTCCCGTGATGATCTAACTCTGAGGACAGATGTGGCTGAGTGTCCTCGATACTACAAGGTCGAGCGTCTATCTGATAACGAATCCCAAAGAATATCATCTGCATACTAAGGGTTTAATGTCCAATCCAAACCCCAATTAGTGCCACGTGAGTGCTGGTATACTCCAGGGTTGAACAAGAATACTCCGGTAGCACAATAGCAAAGGCTGGACTTTGCCATAAAAAGGGACAGGTTGCCACCTATTGGACTCCATTTCCCGATTCTTTGACTAACACACTTTGAATTGAATTGACTCGTACTTCAGAGACCCTCCTCTTCGAAACACAATGCATCTCATCATTTCATCGGTCCTAGCCTTGCTCTTTCCGCAAACCCAAGCCCTACTCACAAACAACAATCTCCAAAACTTCGTAATTCCCGCATTCATTCCCATTTCTTCGGGAGGAAACTATAAGCTCTGTACCCAGGTTGCTGGCCCGCTGCTCTCGTCTGCTCGCCTCCAGCTGTATTATGTATGTTATCATTGTCCAGTTTGACAATTGTTCCCCATCGTCGAGATTGCCACACTCGACAACCAACCGGCCGCAGAGCCCTCCGAAAGCGAGTGTATGTGGCCCCATCATTTTACCAGTCCTCTTCTCGAGTGGTACACATGTAGGGAGGTTGGTGCCATTATTTTAGAGTGCAATGCACCTGCTACCCACCCGGATTGCTGGAGCTGTTGCCTCGATATCAACCCCGTTTCTTAGGGCATACTTAGCCTATCCCAAGCCTGGGGTGAGAGAATTAGTGCAGTGTAGTTTATGTGGATCACTCGAGAGGTCTACAATGGCTTGGTAGTCTCGTTCCTTTGGGTAGGACAGCAAGATGGGCTTGGTACAGATACGTAGTGTCTTTTGCCTCGTATTCCGAGCTTTGTTCCAAGCGTCGTTGGTACCCAAACCTTACGCCAAATTTAAGCCAGTCGGTACCTGGGCATGTATACATGGAGGTGTTCATGGATGGAACGATCGGGCTCTGAACCGTGGAAGTCGTGGTGGATCTTGATGAGAGCCTCTGTCTTCAACATTCACCTCAACTTCGTATTGTGGATACACAATGTATGATTCAGCGCAAAGAGCCCTGTAGAATCCTGTCTAGAATAAATATATGCGGATTGGACCACAGCATGGTAATTACTAGGTATTTCAGCGTCCACGGATTGTGCCACCACATATATACTCATTGTACTCACATGTACTCCGTACAGAAGTCCTCTCTTGATATAACGCATATGAGCCATTAAAGTCCTCATAAAAGTTCCCGCTATGGCTTGCCACTCAATATTGCTTTCAAATCAACTGCCAAGGAAGTAACCCCCATATATTTACCCAATACAGTATACCCCTCATGCCAAGGGATATTATCCCCAGTTTTCGGACTTCCCCCGGTCAGCTTAAGCTTTTTTTCAGGGTCAGTATAAATACTGGCGGAATGATGCCCGGGCTGGTTGATTCTCTTCTTCTCTCACCACTCTTTCCCTACCATGGTTGATTCAAAGGACACCACGGAGAAGACCTCCCTACACCAATCTGAGCACACTCCCGTCCAAAATTCCCCATACATCGCCGATCTCAAGCAAGATGGGCTAGTCGTAGACGCGGAAGCATCCAGCCTCGGCTCACCGACCTTCCAGGGAGTTGATGAAAAAGCTGTCCTCCGGAAGATGGACATCCGTCTCATTCCCATGCTGAGCCTGCTGTATCTGTTGGCCTTCTTGGACCGCGGGAATATCGGCAATGCAAAGATAGAGGGGCTTGTTGATGATCTCCATATGACGGGACCGCAATACAATTGGACTTGTATGATGAATCTAATCCCCTCGGTTGCTTGTTTTCGCAAAAGAATGGCCAATTGACATATGTTTGTGGGTAGTGACCGTCTTCTTCTTTACCTACTGCGTCTTTGAACTGCCGAGTAATCTGCTACTAAAGAAGTTAAGACCCTCGAGATGGCTTCCTTTGATCATGATCGCTTGGGGAATTGTTATGGTGAGCGCGCATGTCATTTAAGTTGTCTCAAGCAGAATTTACTAATGGAGTTGTCACAAACAGACCTTGATGGGTGTCGTCAACGATTACGGTGGACTGCTCGCAACTCGATTGTTTTTGGGCGTTGCAGGTATGATCTCTAGCCCTTCCCGACCTGTACCTTGTTCTAGTTAAGACTAATGATTGCAATGGAACAAAATAGAGGCCGGCTTGTATCCCGGTGTGGCATATTACATTACACTCTGGTATCCACGCCATCGAGCACAATTCAGACAAGCTCTCTTCTTCAGCGCTGCTAGTATTGCGGGTGCATTCTCTGGGCTCCTTGCATACGCTATTGCTGTACGTGTTCTGCTCGCTGGCAATGAAAAACTCACTAATAGTTCTCGAAATTCGTAGAAAATGGATGGTGTGGGCGGATATGCTGGCTGGAGATGGATTTTCATTCTTGAGGGTCTTCTTACTGTTGTTGTGGCACTTATAGCCCCATTTGCGATCCACGACTCGCCGGAAACTGCCACCTTTTTAACTGAAGAAGAGCGTCGATTCGTTATCCACAGTTTGCGGATTCAAAACTCGGCAGACTCGCGCGAGATTGACCAAACGAATGATAAGTTCGAAATGCGCTATGTCATCGAAGCTTTCTCCGACTGGCAAATTTGGTTGGGTTTATTCAGTAAGTTCTGTTCGTTTCTGGGGTATTCAATGTATCATTGACTGATCCGTGCAAAGTGTACTGGGGTATCACCTGTCCGCTATACGGCATTTCTCTCTTCCTTCCTTCGATCATCAAGGACCTAGGCTACAAGTCTTCGACGGCCCAGCTTCTTACTGTAAGCTCCCTATGTTACTTTGTTATTGAATCGGAGATTGACATCGTTATATTAGGTACCAATTTATGTCACCGCAGCAATTGTCGCTGTTATTGCAGCCTGGGTATCAGACAAACGCAAGCAACGATCCCCGTTCATTCTCTTCTTTATGGCCATGATCGGCATTGGCTTCATCATCTGTCTCGCATCGACTGGTCGGGGAGTCCCAGGTGTAATGTACTTTGGTATTTTCGTCGCGGTCGTTGGTAAGTGCATCCAAGTTACAAACGTCCGCATATACTTATATACCCCAACTGACACACCAAAAGGAATCTATCCAGCATTTCCCGGAAACGTCACATGGCTCAGTGTCAATATGGCGGGCGACTACAAGCGAGCTGCCGGCATGGCCATTTACATTGGACTAGGAAACCTGGCAGGAGGTAAGCATAGCGCATCAATTGAGACTTTGTGATTCAAACTAATTCTCTTTACTCAAAAGCTATGTCCTCAAACTTCTACCGTGCTCAAGATGCACCAAATTACATCCTTGGCCACTCCCTCGAGCTTGCTTTCGTTGTCGTGGGCATGATAGCCACTGTCGTCCTGCGTATGGCGTACCAGCATATTAACCGGAAGCGGGATGCCATGGATCCTTCGGAGTATCCCGAGGATCCTGACTCGCTGGGTGATCGCTCTCCATTATTCAGGTACATGCTTTGAGGTAATTGCGAGAGCCGATGGATGGGTGAGAGAGGTTGAACATGCTGTCGTTTCACAAGGGCACCTGAGGACCTCGGGAATATGTTCGGATTACGTTTCGTGCTTCTTTGGGTGCTCCTATGTTATAGACATCTCTCTCCCAACTTCTATACCTGCACGTAAAGAGTGGCGACTACTTTCCTAGGTCTATCTTGCTAGAACCGGCCCTGCCATTTGACCTTGACTAAATAAGATGTAGAATGCACGACCCCTCACCCAAAATCGAGAAGCCCAGCAGGACTCTGAGCTGATGCAAAAGCCGACACCCAATTCAAGACGTTGTGTGGTGAGTTGCTTATATGGGAATCACTGATCTTTCCAAAAATAGGCTATGAATCTTTTATGTATCGGAATAAGTAGAAATATCGGCTCGACTAATTGGGGCCTTGACCATTGGCGTCTGCCTGGTGATAGGTGGAATCCCACTCGTCTTAGGAAACGGGATAATCTTATCGAAAGCAACACAACATTTGGAACATTGCCTACACATATACATAAGTGAGCGTCATAACTCCAGATACTTCATTCACGTTGCTCCAAGTATTGTTGATCGTTGCTGCCCGTTTTGTCTGTTCCATTCCTTTGACCGCCCTGGATAGTCAACCGCGTGTACACTTTGACACCTCTGATCATCCGCGAATCCCCCCATCTTTGATCTTCAGCTATTGATTCCCAACTTCTTCATTGCTAGCCCACCATGTCGCTAGCCGAAGAGCTCCGATCGCGAAATTTCAGTATGTGCCTGGATTCTGCAACACCATATCTTAATCTGCTAACCTGGCTGGCCTTTTCCAGGCATCTATGGACAATGGTTAGTCTACCACGTTGCCTTCCAACACTCAAGCTTGCGTAATGTTGCGGGAGGGCAAGGAGCACTTTTACTGAGTGATTGAATGGTGTTTGCTACCTCGAGTGGCGGTGCTTCAATCATACTCCCCAACATCAGTTCCGCATATACAGGGATCGATCTAACGAAAACATCTAGGACGGGTGTGCTGTGTATTATCCTTTGCCTTGCGCTAGGAATTGCGAACATTTTTTCGTTCAACGTGGTTCTGATTATCATCAGTGTCATCAGCATGTGAGTCGCATTCATTTCCTGCTGATTCATTGCGAAGTCTAACCGTCTCAGTGCCTCGGCATTCGTCATTCTCTTTATTGAAGTGCCCTTCCTCCTCCGAATTTGTCCCACATCACCGAAATTCGATTCCTTTATCCGCCGCTTTACAACCAACTGGATGCGCGCCCTCATCTACGCCGTCCTTGGTGGTGTCCAGCTTATCAGTCTCGCCGAGAAGGCTTCTAGCTTGATTGCTGGTGCCGTCTTCCTTCTCATCACGGCTGTTTTCTACGCACTGGCAGGCCTGACGAAGCAAGAGTTTGTTGGTAGCAAGACCCTGGGTGGTCAGGGAGTTGCACAGATGATTGTCTGACGACATGACCTTCACGTGAGCCGTTCCTGCCTTTTTGTATACCAGCTGGACCCATTTTGAAATTAAACCTGGTGATTGGAGGGTTGTGAGACACGGTGCGATGCTTGACGGCAGATGGTGCAGAAGACAAAATGCCATTTGGGCAGCATGCATTGGGATGCGCTATGAAATAGTTTTGTGTTTTTATTTTTCTGTACTTGTATGTCTCTGTTTGGTTCAGGATCACCCTGCTGGACATGGCTGTTTTCAAAGTCGATGAGCGTTCCTACAGCAGATATATCCGTGGTTTCCTTTCCTTTTTGTGGACTGCGTCCGCCGGAATAGGAGTTCTGTTTACTATCTTAAAGGTGTATTCATTGACAAAGCTCAACCTAACCAGAATACCAGACTAGGCTCTGTGTAAATTCAGCTATACGTTGTAGATCTAGTGAAGCAGAAGCTCTTCGGATTCCTGAGGGTCCAGAAGCACGTGGACGATGGCCCATTTCTGTAGACATCGAGTCCAACACTTGGGTACCTAAGGTAACGCCCAGCCCATTAGGTAGTAGCTCGCAGTAGCTCGCCAAGTGGGCGAAACTGAGCCCAAGGCTAATACATATATGGTTGGAAGTGCATCTATACCCGCCTGGCCCTGAAAGAGTTCCACCAAAACAGGACTGATGGGAATGGATGTAGGTCACGATGTATTTGCTAGGACTAGTCCCGAATGTCAGCCAACCCGAGACCACGTATGTTACGAAGTATACATCGTATGAGTATGCCCTCTATGCTTCCCATATCTAGTAATTAGTATACTGACAACCTCGGATTGTAAGGTCCGATTGGGCTGGGCAGACAATTGTAATCCAATTTGCCCCTGCCCGAGACAAGCCGTCGTTCTGGCTTGAATTTTAGACAGCTGAGCCTAGGAACGTGGCGCAAAGGGTGTACTAGGTCTTGGAATATTGGTCACAGGTCATGCTACCCCGCAAATTCCTTTTAGCCCTGGTGATCGATATGTGGCGGGTATTCTCGCTATTTCGGTTGAGAGTGGATCTCAACATTGAACATATCAGTGTATCCTAGTGCGTTGGAAGAATGACAAAGTTAAAAGACATATATACATAGAGAGTAAGAGTTCCCAAAACACATATATGCCGAGAATCCTCTGTGATATTAGAGTGAGGAGAGTTGTATAGTTACAGCCAACGATGATGCAATGCGGAGAATCATGACACTTCACCGCCTCGACCTGGCCAGCCAATCCAACCGCAGAGAAATCGTCTTATCATCCATGGAAAGCAAAAGGTCAAAGAACACTCCGATAACAAGTTCTAGATTACTCCGTGCAAGATACTGACCTCGGGAGACACTCTTTATTTTTAGATATCTTGCACAATATACTACAACATACGGAGTACAGGAGGAACATGTACACTTTGATCTTAGATGAGATAGTCTGGCCAACTGCGGGTACAACTTACCGTAATGCTACAGAAACGAGGCATTATTTCAAGGCCAATGGCCACTGATATGAGCCATTTACAGATAAATGAAGGGGAAAATGCCTCAACATTCAGATCGAAAATCAAGCCCCATACTGATCTCATCGGCGGGGCGATGATTGTAATCGATCGTCGCATTGGCTCCTATAGGACCCGTAATGATACGGTATTAGTACGATACGCTCATTCTCCGTTGCGGTCAAAGCACGTCAGGCGTGGCAGAAAGAACATACATCATCCCTCTTCCCCAAAACTTAGTTTCGGAATTGCTTCAATATCTGCAGTTCTTGACTGCTGGTTTGATTGCACGTTCTGACTTCCGTTCCAATTGGACTGAACCTGGTTCTCACCGTATCCAGGTAAGCAACTCATTCCGTATGCTTATCAGTTGCATGGCCTGGACCAGTCTGCTCTCGGAGAGTCTTGCATCAATTTGATGCATCCTATGTATCCATAGTAGCTGCGATTGGTTGTATGAATCCCTGCAAGTCGGTTGGGGCCATGTATCCATCGTTCTCTAGCCCGCACAGGACCAAGCGTACTCGTGGGGTATCCGGTTGGGCTGCCGCTGACCTGTTAACAGCTCCCAGAACTTCAACATGTCAACCCAAGCTGCTCCGGCCATCCCTCCTCGGCCGGCTCGATCTCCAAAACCGCCATCGTCGTTAGAAATGCCCAAGATACCGCCGCGCCCCGGCAACCGCCGCAATGATCGTTCGGCTTCGCCCATGCGTGATAGCTATGCACCTTCGCCGTTCAATGAATGGAGCGGTCCTAGCATGAGTCGTACCGTTTCGAATGATCTGCCCCCGCGTCCTCCCAGCGTCACGATACCGTCTCTCGGCCAGGAAGGTATTGAATATGCGGATCTCGACCCAGGAAACGTGTCGGATAGCCATCACCAGACACCCGCGGAGACTCGCAATGTTAGCAGTGATCTCAAGATCCACGCACCGAGACCTTCGTTGCCGACATCAAGTGCTGAAGCAAAAGTCCAGGCTGTTACCCGCACTGATTCCCGCCAGGCTGCTGCGGCAGGACTGGGCCGTGGCGTTTCGCCTGCTCGCGAGGAACTAGAACGCTCAAGTCGTTCCATACATCCCCGATCGAGTGGCTCACGCGCCGAATCCTCCACTGCATCCAATGAGCGCCGACATTCTGCCCATATCGGAGAGGAGCAGGGCTTCCGTGTGCCCATGTATCCCCATGCCGGTGACGTCCAGGCCCCATCCCCCAGCCCGTACCTTGACCAGGGCTCCCAGCGGTCGAGCCGCAACCACAACCGTACTCGCAGTGCTCGGGACTCTTCCTTGCCCCCTGGTAGCTACGGTTTGCACGGACATGGTGTTCAGCATCCCGATAAGTTTGAGAAGGCTTGGTATGAAAAGCATCCCGATGAATACGTGAAGGAAGAAGGACAATATGGCCCTGGCGTCGGCACTCCGCGTCCTGATTGGGCGATGAGTAGCGACGATCTAAACAAGATTGTTCGAAGCTCGGCCCAGACTGGTTCCGGTCTTGGTGAGTATTTGAAGCAATTGTGCTGTCACTTCAAAGCTAATTGTAACCAGGTACTTCCCCAACCATTGTGGGCACCCCTGAAGAGGAGGTCGGGTATATTGCGTCCGACGAGTACATACATCAAATTGCTTCTCCCCCTCCTGACACTCGACTGGAAACTCAACCGACTGTCGAGTCGCCACTTCGACAGATGAGTTTCCCTTCAGAAGCTGCGCAGAAGCCAACCACCGCAAGCCCGCTGCGTCAACGTAGATCTAGTTCGCATGGACCTCATGATAGTGGTGTTATCCATGTGGATGATCCGATGCATCCTTTGCACCATCCGGACGGTTTCGCCCCGACCCCGGCGCTGGAAGAGAATGAGCCGACATATGAGAACACCGTGGAGGAAGAAGAGCCAATTTTGGCTGCTGATGAAGTGCGCCCTGAGGCAGCGTACTTGCATCCCGCCGTCTCGCCGACATTTGATCATCGTGGAAGCTTTGAGGATGATGGCCGCAGTCGGACCCCTAGTATCCACAGTCGTTCCAACAGTCGATCCACAAGCGCGCAAGCACAATTCCCGGTGCTGACCCGCTATGACTCGCGTGAGGATGCGCATACACCTCTTGAAGACGTCGACGAGTATGAGCCTTTGTTCCCTGAAGAGGATGCTAATAAAGAGCACACCGTGTCAGCTGCGGATCGTTTCAAGAAAAGGCCAGACACACTCAAGCATAGATTCCCTAGCCAGGATATCTGGGAGGATACCCCGAACAGTTTGCAGCTTCATGCCACCGTCACCACTCCAGATCTGCCTAAGCGAGACTCTTCTGAAGTCTTCGAAACACCCGAGCAAGAGGCCACGCGCAGGATGCAAAACACCAAAGTCGACTCTCATCAGGTAGCTACCCACATCCTGGAAGGCGAGAGCGCCAAGGACAGAGCCCCCACGCGACCAGACACTTTGAAACAGCGTTTCCCCAGTAGAGATATTTGGGAAGATGCTCCCGATAGTCACCAGCTGGTGACCACAATTGAGCCTGCAAAAGAAGAATTGAAAAGCCCAGAAGTACCTTCCAGGCCTGAGATTCCCCCGCGTCCGCAGAGACAGACTCAGTCTACCTCGCCGACCGAAAAGCGCCAACCACCGACAATCCCAGAGAGACCCAAGCCGCAGGTCCGTACTCGCCCCGCTAAGCCCGTCTCCCGGGCCCCAGCCGGCACCGCCGAAGCCCCGAGAGAGGCTCCTGCAGTCAAGGCCAAGCCCGCAATCCCTGCTCGTCCGGGCGGAAGCAAGATCGCAGCCATGAAGGCTGGCTTCCTCACTGATTTGAATGCACGTCTGCAGCTGGGCCCACAGCAGGCCAAGCCTCAGGAAAAGGATCCCGAGGCGCCGGTTGAAAAGCAGCCTCTGAGCGACACTCGCAAGGGAAGAGCCCGCGGTCCAGCGCGACGAAAGCCAGCCGTCGAGAAGGCGACCTCCAGACTCCCCACTATTCCAGAGATCAAGGTCACAGAAGCTTTGAATGTTTGGCAAGTTGGCCAGGATGGGAATCTTGTTGTTGGAAACGGTAACAACGAGAAGCCTGCCGTTGCAATGAAAGAACCATCGGTGTCTGTTGAACGCCCAATGGCCCCTCCAATCGCCAAGAACACCGCCGGCGAATCTGTAGACCCAACACCTGAATCCCCCGTTGCGGAGGATGTGACCTCGCCCGGAACCACAACAGCGGATATTCAGCCCATACAGACCCCGGAAGAGGCGCCGAAATCGCCTGAGTCGTCTCCGGTAGCAACCGAATCCGCAGAGAAGGAGAAGGAAAACGACGACGTGAACATGACAAAGTCCCCTGAACCTGCAGCTGTTGCCACAGCGATAGCTGAATCTGTGTCAACTCCAGCTAAACTGGATGACGCTCTGGAAGACATGACTGCGTCAGCTGACGGCAAGAAGGAATCTGATGTTAGCATTCACCGTGAACAGTAGCTGTGTGTGAATTGGTTACCCCTCGCTTTCCTATGATGTCGCTTATGTCCCACCCCTGATCACCAGATCGCCAGATCACATTTTATTACTTTCCGCTTGTTTAATGAATGATTTGTTACTTGATTCAAACTCCAATCTCTTCTTTACCCTTTTATGTAGACGGCTGTAGTATTTTGTAGCTGACCAAGTTGAGACATTAACTTTCAATATTACTACATGGTCTCAATGTTGTCATGATGGGGCAAACACAACCTTGGAACAATACATGTGTAGTATGTAAGACCACAACATGCTCGGGCCCTCGGTCCAATTCCGCGCCCGGTTAGTATATCTACGCTTCTGCAAATCGGGCCAAGCAAACACCACCATCACGGCCTCTATACTGCCCAGGTGGGATCTACACATAACTAGGCACGGAGATCGAAGAAAGGCCTGGTCTCTCAGGCATGAATGCATAAAGGGCAAACACTGAATGGTGGTATATCCTACATACTTCAGGCGAATGAAAAAGTGAAACACATCCGGAATCAATTCACGTGCATATATAGATGCCCGACGATCATTTACTGCCTCCGCGGTTTGAGCTCGATGACCAATGTGACGTGATTGCCCCCACGTGACCGCCTTTGACAGCCGCGGTTCACAGCCGAACTTAAAGACTCCAACCTCCACTTAGCGGAATGGAGCTCCTCTCATCTTATGCTCTGGGGCAAAATTCGAGACATTTGTTTGCTTCGTCGGCTTTTATATGGTTCATCTCTCTACCCAGAAGATGCTGAAACCCATCCTTTGTCTCTTATCGAGCCCGATTTAGATCATTATTGCTGTATCTCTTTACATTTCTCATCGTCCCTGACTCGCATACCTTGTCTCCACTACGATGGCGTCCATCCCCGGATACTCTGCAGCAAGCAGAACCAGACCACTCGATGACACCACACCCGCCAATTCTGATGGAAACGCCACCTCCCAACAGACTATCATCTCACCTCAAGGTGAATCGATGGAGGACACCGAAACTGTTTTCTTAAATAAGAGCGTATCAACCCCAAGCCACGGATCGGATATCTCCAGCAAATCACTCAGTACATCATCAAAACCCTCTCATGTCCCGGAGGAAGACGAGCCGCGCAAATGCTGGATTTGCTATACAGATGAAACGGAGGACTCGCCACTGAACCTGGAATGGCGGTCGCCTTGCCCTTGTGCCTTAACAGCCCACGAGGCATGTCTGCTCGACTGGCTTGCCGACATGGAAAACCCTCGGTCGCGCAAAAGCAACGGCGGCGTAACAATGGTGTGCCCTCAGTGCAAGACGGAAATTGTGGTCACTCGCCCGCGTAGCTATGTGGTCGATATGCTTCGACTTATTGAGCGCGTAGCAGGCCGATTAGTTCTTCCCGGCATGATGTTCACAGTGGCCGGCACTGTGTGGGCCGGTTGTTGCGCGCATGGAGTTTATTCAATGTACCTCGTTTTCGGAACCGAGGAGGCCAGACACATCATGGAGGAGACTATGGAGGGCCCATGGAATCCCGGGATGAATATTGGGTTACCGCTTATCCCGCTCGTCTTAATATTCTCACGCACTCGATATGCCGAAGGCCTTCTTCCGGCTATTCCGGTTCTTTTCTTCGCTGCACATAACCCGGGGCAGGAACCCGACTTCGACTTGTGGCCACCCACTCCTGCTATGACGTTTGCCGCACTGCCATACGTCAAAAGCTTTTACGGGGCATTTTATGAACGGCTATTCGGTGGCCTGGAACGGAAATGGATTGCCGAGGTACAGCCTCGCGCGGCGGAAGAAGTCTTGGATGATGCGCAGCAACAAGATCAGGCGGAGGGTCTCGACCGGTTTGGTGATAACGGGAACGGACAAATCCTGATGGAGATCGATCTTGAACTGCAAATGGGAATGGGCGGTGAAGATGAACCGGACCTTGAGGCCGTCGGGCAAGGCGAAGATGCCGAGGGCGGCCCCAACGGAGCACAAGATGCTGGGCGAAACAACAACCCACTAGGACTTGGGCGGCGACAGAACGAGATTATTGCCGATACCAGCAATCTCGCTGATGTCGTACTCGGAGCACTCGTCTTCCCAGCAGTCTCAGCCTCAATGGGTGGGCTATTGGAGTATCTTCTGCCTAAATCATGGACATCCTCAATCACGGACCGTGGTCGTTTGGGACTACTTCAGACCCGATGGGGTCGCAGTGTGGTTGGCGGATGCATGTTTGTTCTGTTGAAGGATGCACTGGTCCTTTATTGCCGGTGGAAGCTAGCCCAGACACACCGTCGCCGCAAGGTCCTGAACTACGATCGAGCTAAGAAACACCATGCCGCAAAGCGGTCCTCTGGATAGTCTTGGACAGACCGTTCCTTTTTCAATCGATTTGAGTCCCTACTTTCCTCTGCTTATCTTCCGCGCGTCGGCTGCATTCTATGGCGTTTTATGGCATTCTCTTTTGACGGCTTCGGTGGGATGTTTCACATATGATGCCTTTGATGACTCTCGATACTGCTGGATACCTCTATCTTGTCATTCGATAAAAATATCAAGTCATGATCTCTGCTCAAAAGTCATGTATCAATTTCTATCTGTACCTATCATCAATCTCAAGACTGGCTTAATTGACCACTCATCGGACGTAGAATTTCTTTCTTGGGTGTATTGGATTCTTCTGGACTCTGGCGTTCAATAATTAAATTAAATTGTCACTTAAAAGAACATGAAGCACAAATGCGTCGCAGCCAGAGATGCATGCAGCGGGAATGTTAATCTCATCAAGCGCGCGGCTAAATAGGCGGACAAGATTCTGCCGTCAAGGAATTATTCCCACGGGCCGTGGAACTCAATTACATCGAGCCCTTCCCACTTCTACCCAACACACAACCATCACAATGAAGTCCTTATCACCAGCCCTCGCGTCTCTCGCGAATGTCTTCAAGATCCCCATGTCGATGGCGCCGGTCCGCCCATCAATTTCCCGGGCGTGCCACGAGACCCTGAACCGCCAAACACAGCAGCCCGGCCCGGTCACAGCAGCCCTGCAATCAGCGCCATTCTCGACGACAAGCGCAATGGCCGCGAGAAAGGGCAAAGGCCCGGTTGTTGATAAGCGCATTAGTATGTGCCATACCCCTGCGCCGAGCTCTCACCCGAGTCCCAAGCCCCGATGTCCCATAACCAACCCAAACATGTCTTATAGCCAAGGCTAAGGAAAGAAAACAACAAAAAAAGACTAACAATCCATTTCCAACCCTCCAGCTCTCATCCGCTACTTCCTTCACCACCCTCTCACGCCCCGTCCTCTCCGCTTCTCCCGCAACCGTTACCTCCGACACTGGACCATCCACCGCGCCTGGCAGTTGTTCCGGGCCCAGCAGCGCCGCAAGCACGAACTCGAGATGATGCGCCAGTATCAGAGCATGCAGGATGCGTGTGAGGAGCTGCGCACTGGTGCGGGCGATGGAGGAAAGCTGTTCCGTGTCTCGATGAACAAGAAGGGTATCTTCACTGATATGTTCCCTATCGAGTATGCTCGCATGCAGACCGATTCTCCTCCTTCTGAGGGATGGAACTATGACTGGAAGAGACCTGGACAGAAATAGCGGACTTGAGGAAGAGATTACCTGGCTGGATTTGATGGCTTGAAGGTTCATTGGACTGGGAGCCCAGAATATATGTATCCACGTCCATGGATGGATCATTTTGGCGCTATGTAACATATGCATTTCTTTTTTATCTTGATATACTTACTAGTTGCATTTCAAGCTCTATATTACTTTGTTTGAGTAGCATGCTTTTCCTGTGCGATATGATCTTACTCTGTATATGTATTACAGGAGTATAGGGAGTATGGATCTACGAGGTATGACATGCCGAAAGGAGATAGTTGATTATATGGTACCCTAAGCGGGTCTGTGAGCACAATGTATGAGAAATGAGCGCTGAAAATAAAGGCACCAGAATTACTACATGAAAAAAAGAAAACACAATGGGTGAGATCGCAATGTACTTCGGGAAATTGAATGTGAGAAGGAGGGGAATCCGGAGTTGCACGTGCATAAGCATAAGCCACAAAGACGGCAATTGATCAGAAAGGAAAGACGTAAGAAAATACCTGCAGGGGAAAAGACACGGCTGAAAATAACCGGAAAGCAGACATTGTACCCAGATCAATCGACCGGGTTAGCACAAGAACCTCCCAAACACCAGTGATGCATGATACAACGGAGTGTCAATCGATATCTTCATGGTTTAAACCAAGTTGTATCAATCAAGTTCCAAGTCAACAGAAAAACCGAGCGCTGGCAGAGAAAGAGTCGGCATTTTGCACATCCAAATTGCATCATCAGATAACTACGCAGCAAGACGATTTCCGTTTGTCAAACGTAAGCAACGCAGCACGGGTGGCTGCCTCGAATACATCGTCAACGCCCTCGCCCGTCAGAGACGAGCATTCAAGATATTTGCGGGCTCCAATCGACGCTGCAATATCACTGCCCTCTTTTGTCGTCACAAACTTGAGGGATTTCTTGCGCATTTCTTCAATCGCTAATGGGTCTTCACGAAGATCTTTCTTCAATCCAACCAAAAGGATCGGCACACCGGGGCATCGCTCGTTTGCTTCGTCGATCCACTATTCCGCAGATCAGTACCACTACCGATTCACTGCGATTCTTCAATTTATCTGAGACGAACCTTGTGTTTCACATTCTCCAACGAATCAGGAGTATCCATAGCGAACCCAATCAGGAGGACATGGGCTTTCGAGTAGGCCAATGGTCGCAAGCGTTCATAGTCTTCTTGTCCTGCTGTATCCCATAGAGCCAATTGGACTGAGCGGCCATCGACACGGCAATCCGTCACGTAATTTTCAAATACCGTCGGTACCTAACGGGGAGATGTCAGACAGATGATTGGGAGGGGATGTATCGAGGTCGAGGGTACTGACATAATGCTGCAATATAAGAACATGTTAGCCACGGACTCTGCTTCTAGAGGCTTCTTCTTGGGGCTGCTTAAGGGCTAAACTCACAGTTGGGAAGTACCCGAGGGTAAAGACGCTGAGCAAACTGGTTTTTCCACATGCACCATCACCAATGATGACAAGCTTCCTATCAAGAGATTCAAGTTAGCAGATGCGGACAACATTCTGCCTTTAATCCCACCCGCAATGGTATCGGAAGTGCTAGGCTGCCACTTCCAATCAATCGGCTTGCATAATCTCCTCGCCATACAGCGTGGGGGATGTAAGACACCATCTCAAAAAAAAATGGGCTACACATACCTTCGCATCACATTATCATCCTGCTGCTGCGACATTATGAAGGTTGCGGAACCCTTTCGTGATACACAAGGGTAATGGGAGAGCGGAGGGTGTTGTGGATCAGCACTCGAGATGACGCGGAGTTCCGAGTCAGATTTCAGCTGATTATAAGAATTGGCGACACGGATAGTAAGGAAAGACCAGCCCTGGGCAGATAGTGCCCAAAGGGATTACGGAGAGAAGATGAATGGGTGGCCTGAAGATGCACCCAAACAGTGACGTGACGAGTTGTTGGGGAGGGGGGAAAAGGTCGCGCTGCGGCTGAGGCTAATGATCGGGGGATTTTGACGTAGACACGAGAATCCCTGGGCAACCTCAAAATAATAGGGGGTTTAAAGAGAGAGGAGAAGGGTAGAGATTGAGTGAGCGGAAGGTCTTTTTTTAGAAAAAGAGGCGGAAGCTGAACAGTAAGATAAGATGAAGGGTAAGAAGGTGCAATTACGGAGTACTCCAAGCGGAGATTTATTAAGGCTCACGCCGAGACTATGAAGGGACTAGTATATAAGTATTAATAAGGAAGATGGGTATCTTCTCGGTTTGATCGTCCTATGGGGATCCCTTTTTTCCCATTCTCTTGTTTTATCACCTTGAGAGATATTTTTTATTAGCGCTCTCCGTGTCTCACACACAGGTCGGTGGATCAACGCGCTCATACCTGTCTCCCTTACCCATTTTACCCTCTCACCGCCTGATGTAGGGGGAATATTGCTGGCAGATTAAAGGCGGGCATGTCAATGATCATGTGACTTTAAACAATGTGATCAACATGGAACAGTGAGATGTAGTCCGTTTATTCTTGTAACCAATTCATGATAGCTTGACTGCAGAACTGAACTAGCTAATATTTCAACTTTTCTAAACTGCGAAGTTTGAAATATCTTCTTACGATCAATACGCTACCACTGAAGCATACAATTCGATATTGAAGCCTGACGATTAAGGCAACAGATCGCTTGCGGCGGCTATCCCGTTGCGGCGGCACGACAACCAGCCAGAAGGCTGGAAAGCCCATCACTCCATCCATTCGTTGCCGTTCGATCTGTCGTATCTCTTGCCTCGGCGCTCACTCAGCCTTAATAACTTTCAAGGTTGTTGATCCTAGCTTTGACTCATTGTTTGTTTTCCTCCGCTGGTTTTCCAGTGGCTGCAGGAGCTAATCTGAAGCGCAGGCACGTCGTGACCCGCCGGGATCATTGTCTTTCAAACCCCCTCCTCCCGTGTCCTTATCCTATCTCACCCCTCACGTTTGCCACTACGGAAGTGTCTTTTAAGCAAACAACAAAGAACGCGATTGACTCTTTGTGCGTGAATACGCCAAGGGGAATAATTCCGGTAAGTTAACACCAGATTGTGGAATCACCGGAGCTTTGTTGGTAGGGCTTTGGCTCTTCCGTTCTCCGCTTTTCCTCCTCATTCTACCACCCACCGTCTCTGACATTGCTCTTCTAACTCAAAGCTTGGTCTGGTGATATTAGTATGCTGCCGAGGCAGCCCTACAGCTTATTTCACCACCATGGCGACCCATATGTCATCAACTCCGCTTCCAGCGACAAACGGCGAAACCCACGCGCGGGGTCCTCAAGGCACTACATCGACCAGATCAGCCGCGACATCTGTACCTTCTGTGAATCGCAAGAAGCAGAAACGGCGACAGAAACAAGCTGCTCGCTTAGCCGCCGAACATCCTGATGCTTACGCCCCCGGAGATGCGGACTTGCCAGCAACAGATGAACAGCGCTCCCACCATGAAGAACACGAATATGACCTTGACGATCACCCCCATACAGCACGCAGTGACCATTACGGATATGCGCCACCAGAACATCCCCGCGGACCACCCACGATGAACGGACCCGGTGGTCACCACGTTGCCTTAGGCGAGACATCGAAAAGGAAGAAAAATAGGAAAGCCCGATCCGACTCCCAGAATCATGCTGATCGTAGCTCAACTCCGCTTTCGAACCCGTCTGGCACTTTCTCCCACCCTCCTCCGCCTCCTCAATCCATGCCATACATCAGTCGATTCACCGGAAAGCCTATGAAAAATAGCAGCATCTGGAACCAGTCAACTCTACAAGAACGTGAAAATATCAGGACCTTCTGGTTTGAGCTCGGCGAAGAAGAACGACGCCAGCTTGTCAAAGTGGAAAAGGATGCTGTTCTGAAGAAAATGAAAGAACAACAAAAGCACTCTTGCAGTTGTACAGTTTGTGGAAGAAAACGAACCGCGATTGAAGAAGAGCTAGAGGTTCTCTACGACGCATACTACGAGGAGCTGGAACAATATGCGAATAACAATCAAGGCGCATTCGATGAAGGAGCTCCTATCATTCCTCCTCCCCGACTCTATCAACCACCCCTTCGAGCCCCAGGGCAGCATACTAGGACACACGGCCAGTTTCACCCGTCACGGAGCCGGGTCCAAGAGCTACCTGAAGACAACGACGATGATTTAGAAGAGGATTACGATGAAGAAGAGGAGGAGGATGACGAAGAAGACGAGGACGAGGAAGAGGATGATGAGGAGCTGTACAGCGACGAGGACCTTGAGGATGATGAAGCTCGAGCAGCCCGCGCTGATTTCTTTGCATTTGGTAACAGTCTAACCGTAAAAGGTATGCAACAAGATCACCTGGTTGATATTATGATTTGACGTCTAACTTTGCTCACCACTCTTACTAGATGGAATTCTTACAGTTGCAGACGATCTCCTGAAAAACGATGGCAAGCACTTCATCGACATGATGGAACAACTGGCCGAACGGAGAATGCAAAGAGAGGAAGATACACAGTACGGAATGGCTGCTGCTCATCAGTCCTTCCATGGGCATAATCATGGTCCTCTAGATGATGAGGACTACGATGATGAAGAGGATGATGAGGACTACGATAGTCAAGAGGAAGAAGAGTTCGACGAGGACGAAATGGTACGGGCCTACGATCTGATATCGTTCGCGCAAATTTGCTAATAATAGTAACAGGATGCCATGACCGAGGAACAACGCATGCAGGAAGGACGGCGGATGTTCCAGATTTTCGCCGCCCGAATGTTTGAGCAACGAGTTATGACGGCATACCGAGAGAAAGTCGCCGAACAGCGTCAGAAACAGCTAATCGACGAGCTCCTCCAAGAGGAGACGTTGAACGAGCAGCGCAATGCCAAGAAGGCCCGGGAAGCGCAAAAGAAGAAAGACAAGAAGCGATTGCAGAAACAAGCGAAAGAAGAGGAGAAAGCCCGCCGGGAGGCCGAGAAGGCGGCTGAAGAGGCGGCTGCGAAGG